AAACTCTTAATTAAAGATTGGCAAGTTAAAAAACGGTCCTACAACTCACTTTTAAAATAGGACGAATGGTGGGACGACTGTAAACTTTTTGTTAGGGTTGAATTACAACATATATCGATACAGGAAAGTGCGAAAAAAAAAAACAAATGAAAAGGATTGAAAAAGAAATCCAACGGGAGCGACAAAACGCTAACCCGAATTTAGATGGCATTAAAGAAAAACGCGATGCTCTTTTCTTGCTCCAGTTTCCAGGAGCGTTTATTCGCACGAAACAAAAACTAATTGAAGAAGGAGAAAAACCTTCAAAATTTTTGTATAATTTGGAAAAAATTCAACAGCGTAACTAGTCAATTACCGAAATTCGCAAGAACGACGGCACATTGACGAGTGAACCTGGCGAGATATTAAACCCCCTTGTTTCATATTACAAAACCATTTACACCAAAACGAATTTACCCAATAAGCACAAGACGCATTTTAGACACTTATAGACGTCTAAAACTAGTCTAGGTAAAGACGCACTTTTATAGACGTTTTGAAGACATCTTTTAGACGTCTTTTATGAGTGCGTTTTTAAAATGACGTTTAAAAGGCGTCTTTTTAAAAGATAAAAAGACGTCTAGAAGACGTCAATTTTTAAGACATCTTCTAGACGTCTTTTATAAAGGTGTTTTTAAAATGACGTTTAAAAGGCGTTTATTTAAGCGTTAAAAAAACGTCTAGAAGATATCTTTTTTTATGACATCTTCTAGACGTCTTTAATAAATACAAATTTAAAATGACGTTTAAATTGCGTCTTTTTAAAGTTTAAATTGCGTCTTTTTAAACTAAAAAAAGGCGTTTAAAAGACGCATAATAAATAGTCTAAAAGACGCATTAAAAAACGTCTAGATCAAGGCTAAAAGACGTCTTTTCTGAGACCTGTTTATAAATATGTCATTATGACTTCTTTTTGACGGCTTTGTCATTACGCGTTAAGTAGATGTCGTATATTCAAAGTAAAAACATAGTTTTTATTATTTTCAATAATTTGTTCAAGTTTTAAGTGTAAATTACTTTTAATTAAATTACTTTTTTACACAATTGTTAAAATTGTTGTCACAGGAATCACTAAAATTATTGCTATAATATTAATATATCTTTTTTTTATTAATAATTATTTTGCTTTTTTAATAGATAGTTGACTGATCATGATAATAAGTGAAAATGGCAAGAATAATATATAAGTTAAATATCAGTATTTTTAGTTTTTATACACCCACAAGCCATATAATAAGTCAAGTATGCGCTCAAAAATTAGCTGGCAATGCGTAAGATAAATTTTATTATAACTAAAGGTAAGTTATAAATGTTTTAAATACTGTTTTGATATATATTTGTTATTGATATATATTATTTTCATCTTTGATGCATCAACCGTTGGTGGTGATTACAGCAATATTATTTTGATTGCTGGTTCCTATGTATATTTTGTATATACGAAATTATAACAATATGTGATGTTATAAATACAATGAATATATACCACATACTACGCGAAAATGTTACGTCATGTACTTAAATTCATCTTGAAAAAAACATCTAAAATACTTTTAGCCGTATGATCTAGACGTCTACAAGTGCGCCTTTTAGACCTCCTTAAAAACATCTTTAAAACGTCTTTTAAACGTCTTTGTGCTTACTGGGAATGCAAAGACAGCCAAAACTATGTCTTTTCACACATCACTAAACTTTTGAGTGATGATGAAAAAATCTGTGGCAAAAGACCAATTTCAATTCGGTCAGAGGGGGGAGACACTTTTCTTACACGTCAAAAGCGGAGGTCTCGGAATCCTATCACCGAAGGAGCAAAGCCTTGCGCTCCGTCTCAAAACACTCTTTCAGCTGAAAGAATTCGGAGAGGATAACGCTCACGATTATTACTACTTTTCAAAGTACTGGTTAGCAAGTTCACTTATCAAATTTACAAACCAAAACCCAAGCTGGAACTTTTTGAAACAGAACAATTTTCCATAACACTGGGACAACAAAATGTCTCAGTACTACAAAACAACAAATGAAATATTAGGCCAAAACGAGTCCCATTTTAACATCCCCCTAAAATCAACAAAAAAACTTATTTAGAAGTGGCAAAAAACAAAAAGACAGTTTCAGAACTTTACTGGAACGGTTCAACAAAAACAAAAATGCCGTAGACCCAAATTGAGAAAAAAAACTTTACCTCCCACGCATGCGGACCGACTCAAAACATCCTCTTTCAATTTTTACACAACAGTCTACCTTCTGCGGTCTTGCTAGCCAAAAGCACAAGGCAACAGATCGTTAAAAACAACAAATGTAAAACTTGTGGTAAAATCGAGGACAATCTTCACATCTTTGCCTACTGTCCTCCCTCAGTTGAAATTTGGGAATATTTTAAACATGTATATAACTCCTTGACAACCTAAAACTTTTATTCTCCGATAAACTCGATTTTCTCTATTGGGACTGCGAATTTATCGGAAAAAATCCTAAACGAAAAAGACCGATATGAGAGTCATAACCAATGGTGGGAATAATTGCCATAATCACTGCCAGCCTTTATTTTATAAGTTATATTTTCCTTTTTAAATATTTTTCTATAGCGTACGTAATGTGGTGTTTGTGTAAAAGTCTTGTAAATATTTTTCTAGAATTTTGTTATAAATTTCTTTTAAATAAAAACTACTTGGAATTTTTTCTCAAAACATCTTCCTTTTTAACTATTTCAAACTTTCCGATTTCTCTCCCCACAATGGCACTATATTAAAAAAAAAAATAAAAAAAAAACAAAACCAAAAAACACAAAAACATACAAAATACAATAAAATATAAAATTAAAAAAAACCACAAAAATATATATGTATATAGAAAAATATATATAAAACCATGGTAATTATTGTAACACCTTTCTTCATTTCATTATTATTGTAACCATAGTGAGAGCGCTAAGAGTGAAGCATATTCTTAACTTCAAAGAAAAAGTAACTCCACATGAGTATTACTACCTACATAAATACTTTCTCGCCATCCCCCTGTCACAAATGGCAACCCGCAACTTCGAACAATGGAAGTTCCTTAATAAAAACAATTTCTCAAAAACCATTAATAAACCCCCTTTCTACCATCAGGATGTAATAACATTAAATAAAAATAATAATACAGGTATTATAAATTTGGAAAAGAAATCAGCGAAGAACATATAAAACTATTTAACGTACAACGATGGCTCGGTACATATAAATTAAGTTCAAACCAAATGGGAAGGAATATTTCGAAAACCTATCCTCTCGAACAAATTATGGCTGAGATGTTTTAACTCATATGAACAGGGCCCAGGCCAAAATGTTATGTGGAGAAGGCTGGAGAATGCTAATACAGGCATTATAAAATGCTGGAGAATGCTAATCAGGTATTATAAATTTGGAAAAGAAAACAGCGAAGAACATATATAACTTGTTAACGTACAACGATGGCTCGGTTTAAACCAAATGGGAAGAAATATTCCGAAAACCTATCCTCTCGAACAAATTATGGCTGAGATGCTTTAACTCCTAAGCCAAAGGCCCGAGTCAGAATACATTATGGCGACTGATGCAAGAAAGCCTACCTACGATGGAAAAAGTTAAAAAATGGAAAAAAAAATCGTGGACGTTGCGAAACCTCTTGTAAACTATGCAAAAAACCAGAAAATACTCTGCACCCTTTAATACATTGCAAAAAAGCAAGAAGTGTCTGGTATGCTTACAGAAAAATATATGAAAGACTTATACCAGACAAACCATTTAATACTATTCACACAATATTCTCTTTAAATATTGAAAATATAAAAGAACACGAAGACATTGCAAAAATAACTACCACGCTAACACACATAGTAACATCAGAATTATGGAAAGCCAGAAACAAACACGTCAAGAAGAACAAAGTAATCCCCTCAAAACGTATCATAGAAAACATTAAAAGAGAAAAAAAATACATTTGGACAATCAAATTTGGCCTTGAGTCTACTGTTGCTAGACTCTAAACCCGTAATATTTTAAATGCTTTAAAAATATTTACTGTATTTATAAATATATAGTAAATAAAACAAAGCATCTTGTATTTGTAGAATATAATGAACTAAAATAGTAATTTTCCTTTCGTAAATATTTGTTAATCACCTGTTTAAATATCATCTGACTCGAAGTACATCTCCAGACTATCAACGAGTTTATAAAACAGTATTCAGTTATTTAATTTGCTCATTAATGTTAATGAGTAAACTAACTAAATGAATTTCTAATTTATACTCTAATAAAGCAGAAAACGCGTTCGTTTCTTGCTTACGATCCGTAATTAATTAAACATTTTATTCTCTAACAATGCTCTCTTTAAAAAACAGTGTAGAATCTATACTAACACAATTACTTCATTTTCATGAGTTTGCTTAATGAACTTCATTCTAAAATCACTTTATGTTACAAGCGTTAAACAACGTTAATAAGTTTGTGTGCATGGTCACGCTTAATTAACGCTCAGTTTTTGTTTCAATAACTTAAACAATGAATTAAACGGAGTTTCCAAACCATTTAAAGTCTATTAACTAAAACAATATATATCGGCCCGATTTAATCGGGTTTATTCCAAGAAAAAATACTTGGAAAAATTAAATTTAAACTTTTAAAAACTCAACACTAATATAAACATTTGGTGAAAATTTAAAGTATTTACATTGAGTATTTACATTGTTGTTTTATTAATATTTAATAACAGTCGTCAGTCATGAGGCAATGTTTTTTATTTTCAGTACTCAATGATCTGTAGTTTTTTGTAGTCTACTAGATACTAATTTACAGCTCAGTGATTTGTTAATACATTAGGACTTATTACGTATCGTATCGTAATTTGTATTTTATCATTATATAATATTTTATATATATCATATTTTGTTATTAAACTGTTGATATTTTGCAATTTACCTATTAAAAATGTCTCAATTTTGGACAAGTTTTACCAAAGGTATCGAAGAACACAACAAGCACTTAGTATTGCAATGTCTGTGTAAAATTATTCAAACCTTCAGGCAGTACAGGTAAATTATAATAAAAATGAAAAGATTTCTTTTCTAGAAATCTAAAACAATAATTTAAATATTTATAATATAGGTATGTGACTTTTATTTCTTTTGTTTAGTAATTATTAATAACCATTTGCACGTATATTAAATAAAAGCAACTACTTACTGATTAAGTTAAATCATTGATTGGGTTTGTGTCATACTATCATGTGTGTACTGTGAGCAGATGACTTTTAAATAGCTACTTTTAATTGTAATTAATTTGTATTTGTATTTGTATACCAGGCACATTATGGAATCACATGCGAACCAAACACAATATAAGTGATGGACTTTCTCGTAATAAACCAACAAAAAGGTAATTATTTTATTTGGATGTATTGACATTATTAGTATGGCCCATAAATTAATTTAATGTATTCAACATGTTATATAAATTACAATATTAGTTATACTTCGCAATATGATTTGTAATTTGTAGGTATTCAAATTTAATAATAAACCTAAATAATTATTAAATATACTTTAAGCTACTAATACATTAAAATATATTAATATATTTTACATTCATCCAAATAGATATTAAAAGTTTTATTTAAAATTTTAATTTAAAACATTACATTGGAGTTTCTAAAGTACAAAATACAAAATATTTTATTATATATTTAAATTTAAAACTGTTTTATGTTTTTAGATTATTAGAAAATGATGACGATGATATGATAATTATCTGCAAAATAGCTCTAAATCATCAAATGAGACAGCTGATATTCATGATAATAGTAGTATTAATACTGAAGTTAGCTGTTTATCATCAACATCTACAACAGGAGTATCAGAATCTAGAAACATAGGACTATTAACGCAGCCAAAGATAAGAGAGATGTTCTTTTCACCATCTGTATCAGCCAAAAAACAAGAGCAAATAACAGACAGTCTTGTAAAATTTATAGCCAATAATATGCTACCACTCTTAACAGTGGATGGTGTTGGATTTGTTGAGTTTATGAATGAAATATCACCAAATTGTGAAATACCAAGTCGCTTTACAATCAAAAAAAGAATTCCAGGACTGTATGAGACAGAAAAACATAAAGTAGCCACTGAAATACAGAAAATAGACTCAATAGCACTGACTACTGACTGTTGGACAAGTAAAGCTATGGAATCTTACATATCAGTTATTGCACATGGCATAACCAAAAATTGGAAAATAGTCAATTATATTATTACAACTGAATTAATGGATGAGCGGCATACCAGCATAAATCTAAAATACAAATTAGTTGATATTATAAAGGAATGGGAAATTGATAAAAAATCTATATGTATTGCGCATGACAATGCGGTAAATATTAAGAATGCTGTTACTGCAATGGCTCCAAACATTAAAAGTAGGACATGTTTCGCTCATTCGCTACAGTTATGTGTCAAGAAAGGCTTGAAAGAAAATGAAATAAAACAAATAATAATTACCGCATCTAGAATCGTTTCACATTTTAAACACTCAATAGTAGCAATCAAAGCACTCCAAGTAGTACAGAAAAATTGAAAATGCCTGAAAAAAAATTAATTCAGTCTGTTAAAACTAAATGGAATTCGATTTATGCAATGGTTGAACGACTTATTGAGTCTCGACAATGTATAAGCATAGTTTTAAATGATCGTAATACTACTACTAGAACAATAGCAATATCACTGGAACTCAGCGAAAGTAAATGGGAGCTATTGGAGCAGTTAGTAAAAGTGCTCAAGCCTTTAGATCTAATTACTAAAGTCTTGTCATCTGCAACAACTCCAACAATATCAACTGTACATCCTATTTTAAAAAGCATTGCTCAACACTATTTGACTCCCAACGAATCTGACCTACAAAAAATTAAAATATTAAAAGAAACATTGTCACAAGAGTTCAAAGCAGCATGATTTGACTATAATTGCATACAAATACGCACATAACATCTCCTTTTTTTATTAATAAAAATAGTAAATACCTACTTGCTACTTTCTAATTCCTAGTTCCTACTTCATATGTGGGTATCTTAAAAAAAATTGAGAAAAACTCGAAAACCCTGGTGTATTTGTTATTAGGGGTCTTATATTGAGTAGATTGTCAATAGATCTGAGATCGTAATTCGAATTATTTAAGTTGATACTTGATAATGATGAAAAAATAGCTGATTATCGCAAAAACAATAAAGCCGGATTGGATTTGAAATCCAAATCAACGGATTGAATCCGTAATCTGAATTGACGAATTGGATCCGTGAATTCGGATAAAACGGATTGATCCGAAGTTCGGATTAAATAATTGTAATCCGTTATCCAGATTGGTCAAAATAATGCTCAGCACTAGTTGGGAGACTATTTTGCAACATTCTCCACTCAGTATTCTGGCTTGGTTCTTGGGCATAAGAGTTAAATAAAAGTAAGTTTTTTATAAGTTTCTTAGCCATATAGTTTTCCAAGGTAGTTGTTTTTGAAATTTCACCTCATAGTATGTTTGAACTTTCTAAATGCGAGTGTTACTTTTATTGTATAGTAGTGTATTATATTAAGCGACGATTTATTTGTTAACAAAAAAGGTTTCTCATTTTTTTAAAGAAATCTACAACATCGCGATAATAAAAAGGGGGAATGTTTAGTGTTTTAGAGTAGTTATTTTGGGTTAGAAACTTTCACTATTTATAACTTTGGTTTGCCATTTTTAGGAGTGAGGTGGCTAGTAAGTATTTTTGGAAGTAGTGGCTTTCATGCGGGTTTTCAGAGTGTTGCATCTGTAATTAATGTTTTATCCTAAGGGCCAGATTTTGTTTTGCTGGATCTAGTATTCCTAAACCTCCGTTTTTAGTTGGTAGCTAAAGTGTCTCCCGCTTAACGGGTTCAGCAAATTACTTTGCCACAAGTAAGTCGAAATCTCTTTTTTTATTTTGTTTTCGAATATTTTATTTAATGGAAATATGTTGGCCAAGTACCATATCTTTGAAGGTGCAAGGGTGTTTAAAAAAATTCCTTTGCATTTCAAGGAAACGTTCCTATATTTGAAGATTTTAGTTTGTTTTTTGAATTTGTTTATTATTTCTTTCCAATTTTGTGTAACTCCTAGTATTTTTAGGCTACTATGGTTGACCCAGTTTATACCATAATCTTTATAAAAGCCTCTATTTACGTAACATTTATATGCGAGGTAATCAAAACCTTCTAGTGCTAGGGCTTTCGATTTGGCCTTGTTTATATTTGACCTGGTGGCCAGTTCAAAATCTTCTATTTCCTTAAATATTTCATCAATAGATGAGATATTTTGAGCGGTGACCATTGTGTCATCTGCATATTGCATGATCTTGAGGGGTTTTACATTTCCAGGTATAAGAATACCATCAATATTAGGGTTCTTTTTTATTGATAGAGACAAGGTTTCTACCGCAATACAGTAAAGCATAAGTGATATTGGATCACCTTGCCCTACTCTCCTCTATTTACTTTATAGGGTTTGTTTAGGCGTCCATTATTTATGATAATGGATTGGGTATTATTTAGTGTTTGTTTTAGAGCTATAATAAATTTACACCCTAAGTTAAAACGTTCAACTACTTTAAATAAGAAGTTTCTATCCAGTTTATCGGTTTTTCCTGGTCTATAGATATGATGAAACTTTTTCTATTCTTTTGATTAGGGTATTTATAAGGTCGCTAGCCAGGAAAATATTTGAGAAGATTGTTCGTTTAGGAATCGAACAGGTTTTTTGATGGTTCAAGTATTTTGTGAAGAACTATTGATAGTCGAATTGCAAGGGCTTTAGTAATGATCTTATAATCAGCACACAATAAAGAAATTGGTCTCCAGTTTTTTAGAGGTTTTAGGTCTCCGTCCTTTGGGAGAAGGCTTATTAGGGCTGTTCTTTGTGACCAGGTTAGGTCTTTATTTTCATTGAAGGCGTTTTCATTTACTAAGTTGGTAAATTCAGGTCCAATTATATCCCAGAAGCTTTGGTAGAACTCTATTGGAATACCATCGATTCCTGTTGTTTTTGATTTAGCAAGGGGGTTTGCCGCATAGAAAAGCTCTTCTCTTGTAAGGTATTCATTTAAATGCAACTTTTCACCTTCATTTAGTGGATTACTTATTGTTTAAGGAGATTATTTTGTTTTATTTTATCTAAGTTACTTTCTTTGTAAAGATTTTTGTAATATTTTCTGATTACATTATTAATGCAGCAAGTTTCTTTGTGGGAGATATTGTTCTCAATAACTTCAGTTATTGTTTTTTTTTTTTTTTAATTGTTTTTTTCAAGAGAGAAAAGCATTTTTGATGGTGTTTCGCCTTCTTCTATTTTTCGTTCTTATTTTTTATTTCTTTGTCTAGTTCTTCTTTTAGTGTTATTTCTTGTTGTTTTTTTTTGTTTCTTTTTAGTTAGGTTAATCTCTGTTGGTCTAGTAATTGCATTTTCTTTTACTTGATATTTGAAAATTTCCCATCAAAAGATACCATCAAAACCAATGATAAAATTTTTGAAATAAAAACTAAAAACTCCAAAAACATATATGCACTTGTAAGCAAGTTCCACGAAAACACTAACATACTAAAAGTACAAATGGCGTGGGATGCAAAACTACAAAAACCTCTCCCGTGGAAAAAAATATGGGAAAGAAGCTTTAAATCCTATGCCAGCGGACCTAATAAAAACGTCCTCTGGAGAATACTAACAAACTCGCTTCCAACTCTTGAAAAAGTTCAGAGTTGGAGGAAAAACAGAGGAATTGCAAAACCTGCGGTGCAGTGGAAAACACATTACATTCTTTTATCCACTGCAAGAAAGCTAGATCGGTGTGGAAGGCATTTAAAAACATATACAAAAAGCTCATAACAGAGCAAAACTTTAATACAGTCTGTGCGGTCTTTCTGACAAATATAGACCATATGTCGAGGAAGGATCACACGGCTAAGGTAGCTACAACTCTGGCCCATGTAATAACCTCAAAGTTATGGTGGGCCAGAAACGCGAAATTAAAAGAAAACAAAACTATACCCTCTGCAAAATTATTGAGGTTATAAAAAATGAAATTAGAAAATTTTGGAAAATAAACTATAACTTATGCCTTAGGAAAAACAACGTGGAGGTTTTCCACGAACAATTTACCATTAACAACGCGATGAGCGATAAAAATAACCTCAACCTAGTATTCCATGTCTAAAGAATAAATTTCAACCATGTTTTACTTAATCCTATAAATTAATAAATCTTAATTCTTATAATATATACTTTTGAAACGAAAAAGCATGTCCCCAGCAGTCTTGTTGGTGTGACGGACATGCCAATATATTTTAAATGCGAGGCTTAATGGCCAGCAAAATATTATATAAACGCGCAATACACGAACATGTCCTGCATAACCCAGTGGATATGTTGGATGTGTGAATACTTTTTAACCTCTTGGGGTAATAACCAGGCATTTATATTTTAAACAGTCGGATGGCTTTTTTTTTTTACTTATGAAAAACCTGTTGTGGTGTTTGATTCGATTTTTTTCGTAATTTTAATTTTCGTTTTTCGTTTTCCTAAGAACCACAACAGTAATATAAATAAAAGAAACAAACAAATGAACAAATGAAACAAACAAACAAAATCTAAGAACATATGTAATATATACTATTGCAAACGACCTTTTTCCCTAACATTGTAAATAAACCCCTGTTGTAATTACTTTATATTGAAATAATATTATATAGAAAAAAAAAAAAGTATCTGTTTTCAAGTGTAGTATCGCTTCTCGGCCTAATGGCTAAAATCAAGTGTAGTATCTGTTCTTGACTCTTAGTCATTAGGTGTACAATCGAGCTAGAGATCACTATCGGTGTCGTGTCACTTGGAGAGATATTGAGAGTTTTACCCTACCCTACCACGGGTTTCCTGTAAGGAAACTTTAGTTCCTGTAAGGAAACTTTAGTTCCTGTAAGGAAACTTTAGTTTCTGTAAGGAAACTTTTTTAAGTGAACGAGTAAATTTTAGAATGTTAGTGAGTACTGAGTGTAAATAAGAAGTGAGCGCCAGAGAGTTGATTTTACACGTATTGTAATATTAATCCAAATGAATTTAACTATCCCTAGTAATAAAACGGATACCGTACCTTCAGACTGTAGTGTACCATCTAAAAACTACGCGCATGCTGTTAAAAAGCATGCTTATGTAAATAATGATTATACGACTCTAAAAAATATTCTTTTGAGTTTAACTAACCCAAACATTAAAGAAATAGACATACTAATGGCGATGGAAGACTCTGGGCTTGATCAGGCTCTGGAAGGTCTTCAAATTATTCATGGTGGATCTATGATTGAATTAGTCATGAGATCTGAAAAATCAAAATACGTACTCCAACAAAACGGTCTACTCATTAAAGGAATCTTGGATAAGTTTCATTACTCAACACCATCGAGACATATTAGTAAGAGAGTGGCAGTGTCTGTACTCGGCTTACCGCTTGAAAAAAAGAGCTTCCAGGTAGGAAAAGCTCTTGAAATTTTTAGATACGGGAAATTTGGTTCTTTGGTGTTTTTAAAAAGACACCAAAGAACCAAACCCCGTATTATTCGGGAATTCTTGTAGCCATTATGGATAAACTTGAATCACCTATTCCAAAATCTTTAAAACTAGGAGAGTATAATGTTAGAATAATCCACAATGGTCAAATAGAACATTCTGAAGACCCGCATACTGAAACAGTTATTAATGAAATGTCAGGAAAGATTGTAGAATCCGAATGCTCAAACTTATCGAATCCACTAACAAATATTGTCTTAGTGCAACAAAATGACCTCCCATTAAAAAATGTGATAGAGGAACAAAACATACAGCCAAACCATATGGAACTAGAATACGAGAATGTGGAAAGAAGCAACGAAGAAGTGCAAGACGAATCTGATGAAAAAATCAGTAAAGTAAGAGACCAAGTAAAACAAATAAACGAAAAAAATACAACAGATCTTAGTATAAACCAATGTAGTGTAAATAAAAATCACTTAAGTAAAGTTATAATTGCATCTGAAAAACCTATACCCCAACAAAATCAAGTGGTATCTATTTTTACAATAACCGCTAACAATGAAAACATAGAGAAAACTCAACCAGAATCTAACTCTCCAAACTTTGACACATCAAGACCATTTGAGAGAAAACCTAATGATGTAAGCGGAGTTGAACTCCGACTATGTCTGCAGTGGTCAGTTATCGCTTCTCGGCCTGATAACTAAGATCAAGTATCTTAGTTACAAGCCGTGACAGTGGTTTTAACTGCTTTGGAAAAGGTTTTGGAAGTATATTCTGAATTTTTTCTTTTTAGTGCAATCATTATGGAGTCAGCTCTGAACACGAGTAGAAGCTCGCCCGAAATCAAGATGACGACAGTCGATTTGCTGGAAAAGATGGAGATAACTGCGAACCGCTCTGCGCCGGATGACTCTGACGCAGAGTTGGTATTTGACTACAGTCCTGACCTGCACACCGAAATCGAGATCGATACCACTGAAAACAGCCAACTGCAACTTTTGCGGACTGTTGTGGATCGTTTGTCATTTTTGAAATGCTGTAATGCTGTCCCGGCCGTTGTGGAATGTCGAGATAGTGCGTAGCCGCTCAGAAGAAGTCTGACCGTTGTGGAACGAGCAGACAACTCAAGATCTGCCGAAAGGAACCTCCCTGCATCAGACCATCCTGATCGTGATGCCTAGATCTCTGCTCAACACCCGAAAACCTACGCCAATGCTGCAAAGACAAATGACAGGAAAGGGAAACCATTGCTACCGAAAACAATCCTGTCTAAGCTACAATCTAAATTTACAATTGCTGATAATCTAAGAAATTTAATTCACGAACTAGAAGGTGTTCAGCAAAGTCACCGTGCCACCGTTATCGAAATATTCATGAAAACGGAGAGAGCAAAATACCGACTATTAGAACATGAGCTTAATATTCAAAATTACCATCACCGCTTTTCGCCGTCTACAAACAACCGAACTTTTAGACGAAGGACGCATGTTTCAATTTTTGGTTTGCCGCTTGAAGCAAAGTCTCTGCAAGTCGCTAAAGTACTCAAAACCATGGGATATGGAAAAAACGATGAAACCAAGGCTATCATGCGGGTATCGCCCGGTTCAAAAGTCCCGTACTACTCTGGTATTTTTGTTGCAGTAGTCTAAGACCTCAAACATCGAATTCCAGAAGTGTAACAACCATAAAAGGACATCTAGTACGCACGAAGTACACCTAGCATGCTGATGAGGCATTGAACGAATGTGATTTCGATTATGATTTTGCCCGCAAGATGTTGCCCTCGAACCGATTTCTGTCTCCATACCTTCATTTTCTCTTGAAATATTGAATCAAACCGAGCACGAGGTTTCTGTTGTCGCTAATGTTAACCATCTGGAGGATCAGAGGAACGACACCGCGGATGCAGTATACGCTGTCTCGGAGGGACCTGACGTCACAACACTGTATAGTGTTGTGTCGGAAGACCTCTTCCCCGGTGCCTCTATTCTCCCCGGAATAATAGGGGAAAACCCCCCTACCGGAGCGGATGTCGTTACTGATATTCTAAATAACGAGGAAGTTACCAGCGCAAAAGAGATCTCGGAAGCAGAAAACGCAGAAGGAAAAAACCAAAAACGAAATATATCTATATCCAATAAAATTCCAAAGAAAAAAACAGATACCGCTATCAAACTAAATCCGAATATTGAAGCAGAATAAAAGGATGTAAACTCGCTTCTCATTAAATGTCTGTTTAAAGAAGACCGTGGTCAAATGATTGGTCAGCTCCTAGCTTTAAAATTTGGAGCGTATGACGAAGGCGAAGCTGAAAATATTGAGAAAGATCCAGGAAAATGTAGATTTGTAAAGGACAACTGGAAAAGAAGCTGTAATATTTAGCCGTAACAAACTGATAATTCTTCTAAATAACCAATACGTAAAATACTGCGACCAATTCAAAATCCAAATGGAGTCGTAAGAATCAATTTTCCTAAATTTTTACGTTTATTTATAAATGTTATTTGTTTTATGAACACTTTTATAATTTTTTTATTTGAGAGAATAAAACTATACTTTTTAAAAGATTTTTGCTAAATTAGCTTGAAATTTTTGCCTTTAAAATATGTTTGTTTTTTTGCTTTAATTCTCTCAACAAAAGTCGGCAGTAAAAACTTTATCAGTAAACGTAAACGGTTTAAATAACGATCAAAAAAGAAATGCTTTGATGAACCTCTTCTTAAATTTTGATAATATTTGCTTACAAGAAACCCACTGTTGTAAAGCTGTACAACGAGTGTGGGAAATAGAATGGCTAAAACAATCAAATGGCCATTCTATAAGGAAAAACAAAACAATAAAAGAATAAGGTGTAGCTATTTTAAGCAAAAAAGAAATGATTTTTTCTGAAATTACAAACGACAAAAATTGTAGAATTCTTGCTGCTAACATTAAAATAAATAATAAGGTTTTTAGAATAATAAATATTTAAGGACATAACGATCCGCAAAAAAAAAAAAAAATTTAAATCTCTTAATAAGCATGCTATTTTAAGTGATAGTTATTTGTTACTAGAAGACTTTAATATGGTTGAGGATCCGTTTCTCGATAGAGAAGACGGCGACCGATTAAACCCGAATAACTTTATAGGTAGGAAAAATTTACAACTGTTTACCGAAAAAAATCAGTTAACTGATATTTTTCGGAAACAAAACCCAACAAAAAAAGTATTTTCATTTAAACATCAAAATTATAAAAGCAGAATTGACAGGATATATGTTTCCAATAGTTTAATAAATTTAAATCTTTTTTGCGAATACAAAAAGGTTGGTTGAAGTGACCATAGTTCGGTATCCTGCGAAATCCTTTTTGAAGAGGAGAATCTGCGGGGGCCGGGATAATGGCACTTAAACTCATCTTTAATTAATAGTAAAAAATTTATAGAAATGCTAAAAAACGAATTTAGAATTAATCAAAACCAAACGAGAAAAGAAACGAGAGAAAAAACATTTATTTTAGAACAAACTTTAAATGCAGAAAGACTTAAAAAAGTAATTGACGAAGGAAAAATTAAACGTATTAAAAAAGAACTTTCTGAATTAAATAACAAAAGTGGTATGTTTGTCACAACGAAACAAATAATAATCGAGGAGGGAAAAAAACCCTCTAGATCCTTGTTTCTTCTAGAAAAAAACACAAACAAAATAAAAAAACTATTAAAACTATATCCTATAAAAATAAAAACTTTACTGATACAGGTGGAATCCAAAAAGTTTTGAGAAAATTCTACAAAAAACTTTATAATAATGAAAAACTTGATAAAAATTTGCAAAACAGTTTTATTGATAAAATTGAAAACATTCTTAAAGATGATGAATACTTTTCTTAATGAAAAATTTACTTTTCATGAACTATATCAATCCGCCCTATCCCTTGAAAAAAATAAATTACCTGGAATTGACGGAATTCCTGTTGAGTTCTGGCAGAGCACATGGGGAATTAATGGGGAGGAGATCACCCGTTTGGCAAATGAAAATTTCTTTGAAAAAACTGAAAACCAAATTGCATGGACCCAGAGGACAGCAGTGATTAGTCTCCTTCCGAAAGATAGAGATTTATCGCTGCTGCAGAACTGGAGGCCCATCTCATTGCTATGCGCGGACTACAAAATCATCACGAAGGCACTATCTTTGAGAATGGCAACAGTTCTCCAAAAGATCCTTGAACCTTCTCAAACTTGCTCAGTACCCGGAAGAAACATCTTTCCGAACTTGTTACTACGAAACTAGAATGAGATTATTGTACTATACTTACAGATGATAAAGAAGCATCTATTGTGCGTTTTATAAAAAATAAGAACAGATGTTTACAGGCAATTAACAAACAGGACATAACCAAATTAATTATTAATGTGCTTCGTGTGAGAGATTACACTAATACAAAAATGAAAGGTGGACGGAAGTTTCAAAAGTTATCATTAAATGCTCGAGCTGCTCTAGAAAAGGGAAAGTAAGTTTAATTGAATTCATTTAATCTACAATGATCCTATAAAAGTATGTAAGACGGGTAATATGACTCTTTTCTTTATGTAAATATTCCATTTTATAGATTGAGTCGATCATTTTGGCTTCGTTTTAATGCTAAACATAGCAGCCTTACAATCAAACGCCAAGGGAGTGTCTCGATAAACCGTGCACTTAATTGTTCAAGAGAAATGGCATGTAATCATTTAGGTAAGTTATTAATGAACAAATATAAATTCATAAATCTGAATGTACTTTTTTTTTTAATTTGTTCATTTCCCTATAATAACATTATTTCAGATTCCCTTGCTAAAGAACTAGTAGATGTTGGTATTATGATAAATGAAAAAATGATTGAAACAGGGGTTTGGAATGGCACCGTTGATACATGCCGAATATTTAATTGTGATGAAACACCCCAGTTTATTAATTATGGAATTGATGGTACCACTTCTGGATTATTTTATGCTGGCAAAGGAGATGCATGTCAAAGAATGTATAGAGAAAACAGAGAATGTGTCACAATTCAACCATTTGTTTCATTTTCAGGTATGCTATAATATGTTATGGTTCAAGAAAAAATTGAATATAAATAAATACAAGCATTAAAAAACTTTTTTATTTTTTATTTTAAGGCGACATATGTATGTGTCAGGTAATATTTAAATGTACTGGTATTACTAGTTCTATGGTTCCAACAGAAGCAGTAAATAAAATTCCCCATTTGTTGGTCACAACAACAGATAATGGAGTATCAACCCATGAATCTTTCTTGGCAGCATTGAAAGAGTTTGATGTCTACTTAAATGAAAAAAATGTTAAGCGACCCATCGTCTTATTATCAGATGGACATAGCTCTAGACTAGACTTTGATGTATTATCTTTTTTGGAGTCCAAAAGAATTCATCTTTTTCTTACTCCACCAGACACAACAGGAGTTACTCAACTTCTTGACCAAGTAAACAAGAACATTCATAGTGAGTATCGTAAGCAAAAAGACTCTATGTTTTCTGATATCTGTTCCTTAAACAAAGAAGCTTTTATGTTAGTTTTAACTAATATATGGGACAAGTGGACAACCAAAGAAACGCTTGTAAAATCTGCTAAAAGGGTTGGTGTTGCCGAAAATGCATTGAGTGTTGATTTTATGCAAAAAGACAAATTCGAACGAGCAGAAAACTGTATTAAACCAGAAAAACAGACTTCTCCAGTAATTTCTTCGCCGGATGAAAGACGTGGTTCAGCAAATTATTGGAAATCAAAATTTGAACAAGCGATGGAGTTGATTGATGAACTTCATGAAAAAAGCATTCAGCTGGAAGAAATACCTGGTTTTATGACAACCAAAAAGATAAAGCCAAAATTAACAAAAGATGCAACACGTGTTACCCAAGTACATGGATCAATGACTGCAAGCGATGTAATAACTCTAGTTGAAAGCATAAAAAGAAAAAAAGGAAAAGAAAAGGAAAAAAAAGAAAATGCTGCAAAAAAGAAAGAGGAAGTTACAAGACTCTTTATAACATGTAAGCTTCAATGCTATTGCGAGGAGATAAAATGTAAAGCTTTTGGCTTAAAGCAGTGTCCAACCTGCCTCAATATAATGCGGTCCATTTGCAGCAAAGCAAACTGCAAAGTAAATGGAAAAAACCCAGAAAAGATTTTATCTGCAGCTGCTAGAAAGAAATAACTATGATATTAAAAATCTTTTTTATTGAATGAACTATTTGTTTTAAATTTGTTGTAAAGACTTGTTCTGGATAAACTTTTTTTTTTTAACTTTTTCTTAGCGCACCCCAAAAACCACATGTTAAAATGTAATTTTTAAACTTTTTTTTACAAGTTTCCCTTCTTCTTATAATAAAAATGGTTTGATTTATGTAAATAGCATATAAAAGATAAGCAAACTAGATGGGATTTGCAAACTTAGTCTAAAAAACCAATATTTTATAGCAATAATACTTAAAACTCAATTATTTTTCTCAGCACTTTTTAAGTTTAAAACGGTTGTAAAAAAAACTCCTTTATTGTTAATATTGATTTCTTTTGTTTTAAATGTTGCTGAAACATTCCTTTATGAGAAAAAATTTCTCATATGGTTTTAAAATGCATATTTAAATTTTTAGAGCCTTTTAACTGACCGCGTTGTTTTTGAGGTGCCTTGGTTTTTGGGGTGCATCTACCTGTACTGAAAATTAAAAACAATGCCTCATGACTGACGACTGTTATTAAATATTAATAAAAGAACAATGTAAATACTCAATGTAAATACTTTAAATTTTCACCTGTTTATAATAGTGTTGAGTTTTTAAAAGTTTAAATTTAATTTTTCCAAGTATTTTTTTTTTGGAATAAACCCGATTAAATCGGGCCGATATATATTATTATAGTTAATTGACTTTAAATGGTTTGGAACTCCGTTTAATTCATTGACACAAAAATTGAGAGTAAATCAAGCGTGACCGTGCACACAAACTTATTAACGTTGTTTAACGCCTGTAACATAAAGTGATTATAGAATGAAGTTCATTAAACAAAATCTTGAAAATGAAGTAATTTTGTTAGTATAGATTCTACACTGTTTTTTAAAGAGAGCATTGTTAGAGATAATAAAATGTTTAATTTATTACGGATCGTAAGCAAGAAACGAACACGTTTTCTGCTTTATTCGAATATAAATTAGAAATTCATTTAGTTTACTCATTAACATTAATGAGCAAATTAAATAACAGAATACTGTTTTATAAACTCGTTGATAGTCTGAAGATGTACTTCGAGTCAGATAATATTTAAACAGGTGATTTACAAATATTTACGAAAGGAAAATTACTATTTTAGTTCATTATATTCTGCAATGCAAGATGCTTTGTTTTATTTACTACATATTTATAAATACAGTAAATATTTTAAAAGCATTTAAATTATTACGGGTTTAGAGTCAAGCAACAGTAGACTCAAGGCTTCATCAGCTATTCACAGTTTTGTATATATTTATTATAGAGTATTTTATATATGTTACAAAGCAAATCAACTCTGGAAAAGTCTTTGCCTGTAATACGCTATTTAAACTAGATGATAAAAAAGTTGTAAACAATCACTACAGATAATATATAGAATGTAATAGTTATCAATACATATCATAATGACGTTGCGTTATATCACAAACTCTTATGTTACTATGTATTACTATAGTGTAGTAGTGCATGTAATATTACTTTATAATCTCCCAATGTCAGAAATAGATATTCAAGAGGTGATCTTGTACAAATATATTGGTTTATAAGTAGTTTAGATATTATATATATATATATATATATATATATATATATATATATATATATTTATATATATATATATAGATATATAATATATATATATATATATATATATACTTATATACATATAAATATAAATTTATATAAATATATATATATATATATATATACATATATATTCATATATATATATGTATATATATATAAATATATATATATATATTTATATATATATATATATATATATATATATACTTATATATATATATATATATATATAGATATATATATATATATAGATATATAAACATATATATATATATATATATATATATATATATATATATATATATATATACATTTGTATATATATTTGTATATATATGTATATATATACATATATATATATATGTATAAATATATTTATATATGTATATATATATACATATATATATATACATTGGTTATATATATATATATATATATATATATATATATATATATATATATATATATGTATATACATATTTATATATCTATATATACATATTGCTACACAGCGAATCTAACCTTTGCTTTGAGACACAAAAAACCTTGTTAGATAACATAACTAACAAACTAACTGATGAGCAAATCACCACTTTCAACCAAAAGTTTACAAGTTTTAAACTCTTCCAGGGTGCAAATACACTAAAAAAAGGGAAAACACCAGGAATAGATGGTATACCAGCGGAGTTATACCATGAATGCTGGGACATATATGGTTAGGAATTTACATCCCTCGCCAATATGAGTATTTTTGAAAACAAAAACGCTTTAAGTTGGTCACAGCAAACAGCACTGATAAGCCTCCTCCCAAAAGAAGGAGACTTATCAGAGCTAAAAAAACTGGAGACCAATATCTCTACTCTGTGTAGACTATAATATAATTACAAAAGCTCTATTACTACGTTTAGCAAATGTCCTGAACATCATCCTGGGAAAACCACAACTGCACAGTCCCAGGAAGAAACATTTTTTCAAACATTCAACTTATCAGAGACTTAATACATTACACAAACGAAAAAAACCTTTAGAGCTTTCTCCTGACCAGAAAAAAGCTTTTGATAAAGTAGACAGGAACTTTCTCCTCAAAATAATGATAAAAATTAACCTTGGAAGAAGTTTCGTCAATGACGTTGTTCAGACACATATACAAAACTAATCCATAATTATTAACAATGGAATCATAAGCAAACCGTTCTATGTCAGTAGAGGTGTTAGACAGGGGGACCCGATATTCTTGATGCTATTCTGCATCCTAATGGAAACCTTCGGCCTAGCAAAACAAAAAAACACAAAATTAGATGGAATTCCAATCCCTGAAAAAAAAACCACGTTCAAACTTATGCAATATGCAGATGATACAACAATCTTCATACAAAATACGATATCATTATCAGAAGTGTTTAAAGTCCTTATTCAATTCGAAATGGCCTCTGGATCAAATATCTTAAAACATAGGCACTCGCACTAAGAGGTTTTAATTACATTGAATATGAAAGTACGGCCAAAGACCTCAACCAAATAAACTATAACATCAACTGAACAAACTTCAGTGAAATAAAAATCCTAGGCTTTATCTTCCACACTGATCTTGCATTTACATATATAAACTGGAAGAATGCAATAAAAAATTTTACCAAGAGAACCAAAACCTATAAATATAGAAACGTCTCTCTAAGATGTAAGGCGATATTTGTAAATACCCTGGCTCTATCGAAAACATGGTTCGTAGCAAACATATTTCCTATATCGGAAGTAACCAATAAAAAGGTCATGAAAGAAATATCTAAATACCTATGGGAGAGCAAATATGCCGAACCATTAAAATGGAAGATTTTAGTTTTGCCAACAAAATAATGCGGTTTGAGTATCCTAGACCCCATAATGCAGAGTAGATCTCTAAGAATAAAACAAATGCTTCAAATAAAGGAAAATGAAATACCACACGACTCCTTATACTTCCAAAAATACTTCCTAGCCACGTCGCTCCTAAAGGTAGCAAATGAATCATTTTAACAATGGAAGTTCCTAACCATAAATAACTTCCCAAAAACACTTAACACCCCACCCTTTTATTATCAAGATGTTATAAACGTAATAAAAAAAAATACAGAGATCTTTTCAGTAAAAATGAAAATCTCAAAATATATATATAATATACTTTCAAAATTTGAATACAACAAAAATACAAACCTTTTGGGAATCAATGTTTAAAAAACCACTGATGTGAAATAAAATATGGGAAAGGAGTTTTAACTCCTATGCACAGGGACCAAGCATGAACACTTGGTGGAGGTTAATAGATAACAGCCTCCCAACTCTAGAAAAGGTAATGAAATGGACAAAGAACCGTGGTCGAGGAAATGCACTATGTAAAACCTACAAGCAACCAGAAACCACACTACATCCTTTTATATTCTGCAAGAGGGCCAGATCTGTCTGAAAACAAATGAAACCCTTCTATGATAAATTTCAACTCCAAAAACCTTTTAATATTATTCAAACAATTTTTATGGTAAACATTGATCAACTCCCAAACTCAGACAAAAGAACCAAAACAATAACAACCATCACACATATAACACTAAGTAAAATATAGCAAGCAAGGAATGCCACAATTAAAGAAAATAAAGAAATAAAATCAAATAAAATAGTAGAATCAACTAAACGAGAAATAAGATACATATGGAATTCGAATTATCAAAAAGCTATTAGAGACAACACCCTAGAAAATTTTCATTCTCACTTCTCTATATACGATGCAATATGCAAAAGCAACATACATGAGTTAATTTTTTCTTTTTAGGTCCTAAATAGTATTAATAAAACAAAATAAAAGTATCTGTTTTTATCCTAATAAAAAATAAAAAACTTTTACAAGTATTAATATTTCACATTCAAGAGTTATTCCCTTAACACTTGTTGGAGTAAAAAAAATATGTAAATAATGAAAACTAAATAAAAATATAAAAGTAATCCATCATCGAAATCACTTTAAAAACAAACGAAGCTAAACTTTAGCTCCTCGAAACCGATATAAATATAAGAAATCTACACTATCGATTTCAACCTTTAAATAACGATCGAACCTTTGTTATGAGGACCCACGTCTCGGTTTTCGGACTACCTTTGGAGGCAAAAAATCTACTACTTGCTGCTATTCTTGTAGACATGGGATATGGTAAAGCATATCGCACTAAACCAGTCATGCGATACACACCTCTTAAGAGAACACTCTACTAATCAGGAATTCTTGTCGCTGTGCTTGATAAAATATACAAGCCGTTACCTGAATTTATCCACATCAAAGGTCATCGTGTCCGAACCATGTATACGAAATCTGATGAATCCGACGAGTTTTATTGGGATG